GCTTGAGGATGATGACGACCCGAGCAGCAAGCCGTTCAATGGCCACGAGATTACCTCTTCCGTCAATTATGACAACGCTCTTATCGTACGCAAATTTCACCACGTAGATTTCTTGATTTTCTCTCGGCGAATGCTGCGCGAATGTCACCCGTGCGGTCATATGGGCATTGGGATGGGTTCCCGTAGCCTTAGTAGCGAAAACCTCGAGCCGTGATACGATAGGTCGATACTGTGTCGTTTCTCGTTTTCAGTGGTGAATCGCGAGTCTCCGTGTGCCGAGTCGGCGGTGGTGAAAGGCAGATGGAAACCTCGTGGGGAGTCTGACGGGCACGGACGTACCTGGCATGCCACTTTCGATTGCGGCGACGGACAAAAAAAGCAGCTGAGGTGGTAAGCTGGCTGCGGACGCCGAAATCAACCTCTGCGGGCATCTCATTCGATTATGCCACCTGCTTGCTAATGTCGTCATCTCAGAGACGCTCCCGACACCCTTCGTTTGCAGCACAGTATGATACACGTTGCTGAGCCTGTCCAAAGGTCTCGTCAGCGGAGGTGCAGGTGGGGGATCTTGGCAATCACAGTGGCGGCCCTTCCGACACCACAATGCGGTCCACCTTCACTATCAGGACTTCAACATGCCGGCGAAACGTCACTGCCGCCAGAGCGATAGGTCCCCGTCACGAACACGCGGACCAGCAACCTATTATACTCTCCCACCAAGTGCGGTCTCATCAGACTTCGGCGGGGATGTTGGAACACCTGGCTATATCACAGCGCTACTCCTATGGCCTCCATTTCCGGTATGGCGTGAAGACGAGGTAGGCAAGCTAGGGAAGCAATCTGACGTATCAGCAGCTCAGCTTTACCTCGCGCTGGGCCTGCTGGTACACCACCTGTATCTGGCAAATTGCGCCGCCCTGCGATCGCGTTCCCCCCGATTCCGATCGGCACTCTCGTTCCAATCGCGCTACCGCCTCTGTCCTTGATCTCCATCTCGAAGGCGTGGTCTAACGAGTTTGCTGTACGCTCAGTACAAGATCCGATACCCTCGCGACGCGGACCTACATATTTCTGCCCCTTCGCGTCGCCCAAGAAGATGCATTGGGCACTTGAGCTTGTGACGAAGTCTCCCCTGCCCACTCCGCTCGTATCGCCGATTGTAGCAGTTAAGAAGACTTGCAGACCGAAAGTCGATGACTGAAGCATTAGCTCCGAGGATGACACGGCCTCCCGGACGAGCTGGATGGCGAGCTCTGCGGCGGAGAGTTGGTGTCATTGTGCCCTGGTCGGCAGAAAAAGTTCAGCCGATGACTGGAGCGGCAAACCCAATAGCAATGCCAGTGCTGTGGCGGACACCCCCGCCTGAAGACGGAGGCGTGGTGAGGCCAATGGCAGTCATTGGAGATGGGATAGCGTGAGGAAGAGCGACGGCGCCGAAAAATCCAGAGCTCACAGCTGCTTGTCCGACGCCAATTTCTGTGTCGGCAGAGTCCTCGTCCTCGCCCAGGACGGTGGGATACTCATCGCTGCTAATGGAGATTGGCGGAGATCTGCCATGGAGACGAGGGCTGCTGCGCGGAACGCCTTCTCTGCGCCAATCGCTTCACTGGCTCCTCTGTCGCGGCGGTCGCGAGTCAGCTGGCTGTCCGCTTGAAAGAATGGGAGCAGACCAGGCTACACTTACTCTGCCATGTCACGGATGTTCACGATACGCTTGAAATGTGCCGCTGAGGCCATGCTGTGTAGGTAGAATGTCAGTGATCACTGTGCAAAGTCGGCGGCGCCGCGCAGCTTGATACATGCCTTGCTGGTTGTGCTGGTGCGATTTCAGGAATCGACGCGTGGTGAAGGTGGATGAAGTGGTCAAAAGCTCATTGGAGAAAAAAAAAGAGTAGAAGGGCGTGGTGGTGGCAGAGGCAGCAGTTAGTGAATATTGATGTCGATGGTAAGCTGCACAAGCGCTGACGACGAGCAGCCTTGCTGCAAGTTGCAGATACAACGGTTTCTTTGGAAGGCACGATATGTTTCGCGGTTTCCGCTTGGTCAGAAGCGCACATGGAAGGCCGTTGAAAATATGCCCATGCATTGTGACAAGAGGTGTGGCAAATGTCCGTACAATTCTGCATAGTAAATGTCCCAAAAACAGCAGCAAGCAGTGCTGCAACGAATCCACCACTTCCGGCCACGATCAGCACTCATTTGAAGAGTCATCGTCAGACCACTCTGGCACGCCGTCGATACTGGCCCTATGCTCTCCAGCGCTCGTCCAGTTTTCCCAACCTCAATCCGTTTCCGAATCTCCTTCGCCCGACCTTGCCAGTACTGTGTTCGGCGCGCCGAACTCCACGTGCTTTGGTCGGAGGCGATGGACTTCTTGGTGCCGCCAAGGGTGTGGGTGCTTGTGCTTGTTCGAGTCACAGTGCCCATGTGAGGCGAGAGCAAGAGCCCTAGCTCGCAGATCACACTCTCTATGTTGTGTTCGTAGTCAAAGTTCCATCTCCTCTGCGAGACGAGCAGACGCTGCAGCGTCCTGCATTTGTGCTTTTCTTCGCAATGTCCTCGACGGTGGCAGCACTTCTGTCTGCATCGTCTTCGTGACCGTAAGATCCCCATTGTAGTAGGTGCTTCGCGATTCGTCCATGTTTCTTGTCCGAGTCGAGCGAAGGATTGGCGTTCGGGATGTGCGCGGTGCGCTTGGTCTGAGAAAGGACGGAAAATGACATTGCTCCGTGTGCGCTGCGTCCATCGCTTGTGTGTCCCACCAGGCCATCATCGACGCCTCATTCATCTCCCAGTCCATGCTCGTGTTCTCTGACAGTGTCAACGCTTATTCTGGCGACTGTGGTGTCGGCGGAGTAGCGAACTCTAGCTCGGGAGGCGAGGGAGTATTGCGCGATATGCCTTCTCGAATCTTGAGCGGTGCTGCAGTACTGGACCGAATATGGTCAGCGTATTCTTCGAGCTGACGCGCAGGAGCTCACGATCTGCAGCGGGTATGTTGCGTGCGACTTGTGCTCGCCAGTCGTGGTGGTATTATGATGATGAAGTGTTGAACATGCAGCAGTGCGAAAGAGACAGGATCAATTTAGAGGCCATCAAGCGCGCGTTACATGAGCTCGACTGCCTCAGCGCTCAGTGCAGTGCATGAGCGCGAGTGGCTAATACTTCGGCTTTCACATGCGCTTGGCACTCACATCATCTCAATGGTCACGCGCCTAGCTTGCTTCACTTCCACCATCCTCTCGTGATTCTGCCCTTCACCAGTGGCACGCGCGTGTGCACCGGACAGGTTGCACCCCGTCTTCCACATTCAAGCACAGCCGCGACCGTCACCTGCCTGCACCGGTGCATCGGCACCGACCTGTCGAAGACGTGGGTTCCCATCGCTTTCGTATGATCGAGTTGCATGGCTGACAGGCGACACTATTCTCCTTTCCTGCTTGACTGAACTGCCGTCAAGAGCTCACAGACGAGTAAGCCATCAATGGCACCATAATCCCGCACAGGCGCATTAGCTCCGGGCCCATCAACGAACAGCTGCCCGAGCTACGGCTCCTACAACTCGGCAAACTCGACGTGATATTGGACGTCACTTTGCGAAACTAGGACGCGTATAAGTCGGATATTTGGGCGTTCGGCATTCTCATCGCCTTCCTCTAGGTAGGGGAGTGGATTTTCGACGAGATTGAAGACATGAGCAAATCACCTTTGACGAGCGTGGACGACCGAGGATACAATGTCAATGGCGTGAGACTGACCAGCTTTCGTGGCGTCCCCAAAATGCTACAAGACTTGGCGGAAGCGAAGCAGCTCGTGCAGCAAAGGACCAATGAGTTCGCAAACAGCGGAGATCCGGTCAAAGAGCTCATCGCGAGTTGCCTCAACCTCAGACCCCGTGCTCGTCCCAACATGAAGCAAGTTGCGAGCCACCCAGCCTTTCAGAGCATCTGTATTCGACAGTGGACAAAGTTGGATGCACGAGGCCACGATCGAGGATGGAGAGTAGAATATCATCATTTGTCAATAGAGCTGTTGCTCTTTTTGTTTCCTTCTTATGTTCCTCGTCTATGCGGCGATGATTTGCTCTGCTGGTGCTGGGTGCGCACTTGGACATACCCACCAGCAACTAGATGACGAGCGAGGAGTGGCGATGGTGTGTTTCGAGCACCTTGAGTCAGCTGCAAAAGCATGTATTTGACAGAATCATATCAGAAACTTGCTTGCTGTACACAGACATCTATTGAATGCCGTGCTACACGAAGAGTGGTGACATACCGAGCCTTGCGTGTAAGCACGCAAGATGTTCTTCTCGATGTAAGGGTAGTCACAACCGCACGTGTTGTATCGCATCGCTCGCAAAATGCACACCTCCTCTATCAGCCTTTATACACCAGTCACTGTTGTCTGGTAGCCAATCTAGTCTCCTCGCTTTCGTTGTCGTCGCTTTGGTCGAAGTATTCCTCGTCTCCGGACGTGGAACTGTTCTGGTATGGAACGGCTGTGAGGAAGTCATAGCATCAGCATACCGTGCCGAGTTAAAGTGCAGAGTGGTGCCAACTACATGCATTCACTTTGTCCTTCGCGCAATCGTCATCGACAAGCACCACATTCACTGCTGTGTCGCAAGATCATCTGGCTTTGCCAACATCACCGCAACCGCCATCACCCATTATTACCGCCACTGCAATCCTGTTCGTGCATCTTGACCGCAGCTCATGGCGCAACCTGGTGCAACTTCGGGGCGTCAGCCGCAGGGCAGTCGCGCTTCACCAGCAGCAGCCATCTGGACCGCAACCAAGACCCAAGCCTCCTTGCCGAAAGCTCGACAACCGCTTCCGCAGACTCGAGAGCTCCTCAATTCGAACAACAACCACCGATCCTGCGATTCCCTTGCACAGCAGAGCAGTATTGTTGGAGAACACGACGCAAATTTGAAATTTCCAGAGCCCAGCTAGATGGTTGCTAATCGTTACGGACATTTTCACTTTCCTACTGCAGAAATGATGAGTATAGAGCAATTTGACTCGAAGCTCAAGAACACCGAAGTGCTGAGGATCATGAGAGATTGCACAAACAGCCGCCGAACAACAACAGAGCAAGATTATAGGAACCTCCTACAGGACCTTTGCGAGCATTTAACATATTTCGAAGCTGTCCAATTGCTTAATCGCTTCGTCTTCAGTGACACGAAGGAGTTGGAGCTACGCGAAAAGGATGGAGGTTCCTTGGTATCTAACAAGTACTCGAACATGGATCGGCAGACGTGCCAAGCAATACTCGAAAATCAGCCAGCAGTGGCAAAGATTATGAAGTCGTGCGAGAACTGCCGCTTGACCTCTACAAGAAACGGCTACATGAGCGCTCTGTGCGCCTTGAGTATGCATGTTACTATGCAAGAATCTATCGAGATGCTCAACTACTTCGGATCCATCACTCTGCTCAAGGATACCGACTTGGACAAGCTCTTCAGAGCAATGAAGAGCAGAAAAGGCTTTACTGACGCCTTCAACTTCGTGCTTAGCCACGCGACACAGCCGAACCAGAAGACGGTGGTGATTCGCGGGATTCCGGTCATCCTGTTCCATTCATGGTGGCAAACGCTTACACCACCTGACAAGGAGATCGAAGGGGACGATGATGGTGAGGAGGAGCATGAGGAGGACGACATTGGTGATGAAAATTCCAGCAAAGAGAACAGCAGCACACACCTACGCTCACAACATCATGTGGCCCCGGCGACAGTACAACTACGATTTGGGAATTCCAATTTTCGCGTGATGACATTCGGAACGGCCGAGCCACATTCACGCATCACCTCAAGCAAGCTCTTTGTAGGCTGGGATCTCGAGGGGTACTTTTGCCTTGTCGACCCTGCCGCCAGAGGCTGCTATGGCGATCAAAAGCTTGCATTTGCTCGTCTACACGGACCGGACGACGTGGAGGTGATGTTCGGGGACCAACCCAACGATATCACACTTCACTACCCGGAGGAGTAATGCACAATGCATCGACTTTCGAAACTTCTCCGTCGGCCACTACGGCCTACTGGCAGGACGATGAGGAAACCTGCGGTCGAGAGGAAGGCTGTGAGCGGGTTCATTCAGAGCCAACGAGACTTTTGGTAGGGTTTCGTAGACGCAAAGACGCATTCATGTCCTGGCCAAGGTTCCAAGGAAAGCGGTTGGGAAGTGCAGTCTCTACAATTGGTAGGGGCGCGTTGCCTAATTGCGATGAGACGAACGGAAAAGCTCGGCCGCGTGAGGGATATGTTTTATGCCAATCTGTAGGTAGACTGCAATAGTACACTTAGGGTTTGGGCCTAGTCAGGGTGGACGGAGACCGAAAATGCTGATCACGACTTTCGCAGTCCGTGGCACGCTCTCCCACTCTTCCTCTACCATTGCAATACACATGGCACGTATTCCCTACATGCTTCAGTCCCAATTCCAAACCCAAGCCCCAAATCACAACCCCGAAGTTTTCCAGCGTTTGCACAGCTTCTTCCAAACTCACCTGCTCTATGCACAGCCGATTGCCTTTCTTCGACCAGGAACCTCCACACCCCACTGTAGGGCTATCGTCACCTTTGTGGACCAGGTGCTGCCAACAACCGCCGCACTCATTAGCTCTATCTACAAGGAGCAAAAGGACAGAGAAGGCTTCCTCTGTGTTACGTCCTCTGGCGAGAATACGTTCGGTAAGTTCGCACAAGCAGTTGCCGCTTCATCACCTACGATCACGACAAACTTGCTGGGAAGCTGCAATGTTTAGCCACGTCCTCTATGCTCATAACTGGAAGTTTCTCTTTGAGAGCGGACGTTATCGGGAGGCGATTATGCTGGGAATTCAGTGAACTGTTGTAGTTGGACGTGGTGTTTTCGAGCGCGAACGCCGAACGGCGGCAGGAGCCTCTATTGTGGCCTGGCGATGCTGCGCTACTGCGGCGAGTTCTTTGCATCGGGATCTCGCTGATGGTCAAGAAGCAAATGCTCTGTAAGATACACAATATGCGAAACTTGAAACCAGAAACGACTCTTGCTGCCTGCCGTGGATGATGAGATGTGGTTTCTGAGGTCAGAGAGTCTTCTTTCCTTTGCCTATCAGTTTGAAGGGAACAATAACGAGGAAGGCATCGGTCTCCCAAGACATTTCACGTGGCAGTGTGCTCTGCAGTAGTGTTCTGAGATGCGAGGGTGATCAAATGGTCTTGCATATTCTAGGAAAGTAATTGACCTGCGTCTTATCAGTTATTGCGGCTTTCCTCAATCCTCTCACTCGAACCCAATAGTCACTGCTGGGTTGCCGACGACAACGGCTGAGCAGGCTCCGAACGTGTAGCATCCCAGACGGTACCATCTTCATGATGTATACCATCATTGCTCGTCGCCTTCTTGATCACTGCTTGGCGTCCAAACATTTGGTGATCTGGCTTGCCGTGCCAACCATCTTCATCTAGCGTGAAGACCTATGCATGGCGTGCAAGCCGCGGCCTCCGTACCTCCTCCGGAGGCCTCTGCTCAGCTACCTCTCAGCTCTCGCTAGCCTCAGCCTGCTTGTCTTTGTACGACTTCCTGGCAGCGTCCGAGTCCTTGGAGTGCCTCTTCCGCCGTAAATTTGAATCACCAGTTTCCCTACTCTGATCGGACTTGATGGTGCTCTGCCATTCGAGCTGGTCATGAAAGCTCGTCTTGCATGCCTGAGTTGCTCAAATCACTAGGATCTTCTGGATGTCAGCTTTGCGATGGTGGCGTCTTGTTGTTCAACCCAGCCATCTAGGCGTGCATTGGCTTCCTGCATGATTTTGGCATCTGCTTTAAGTGGCTTTATCTCCACAACGTTGACGATGAAGTGTCGCCTAGGTGACCTCATGATGGCTCTGAGATCCGACGTCCTGTGGTTCGGCCTGGCCATCAGGCTCGGCATTGGAAAGTTCATCCTGGACGTTCTAGATTTCCTCCTGGTCGTCATTGAGAATTTGCTTGGTGATGCTGTCAAGCCATATGCTCTTTGCTTGAGGGTCTGCATGGTGGGCTTGATCGACTTTCTTATTCAGGTCCGCAATGCCTTCGTTCACTGACTCGGCATCTTCGTTGAGAACCAGCTCCCAGGCTCTGATTTTGCTAGACCTTGCCACGAAGGCCCGGATTGGCTCTGTCAGGGTTGTAGTTTCTTTCATATCCGCTGTAATGATATGCTTAGTTGGCTTTTGGCTCATTACACAGCTGGCTATCTTGTTGCGCGGGTGGAAAACTTGGTGGGAAGATCGTCGCCATCGAAGATGAAGCCTTTGGCGATTGAATCTGATGATCTGATGAGTTGGGCTGGCCAGTCGAGGTTGAAGTGGTTCGTTGGGCGGCGGCAGGTCAGATTTCTAACAAATTCTTCGTCATGTACGATGCATCAGTGCGCGCAATGGCCAAGAGGGCCGCTGAGCTGGGCTTGGAAGAGAGATTGCCTGTCAGTGGCGACGCGGAGAGACCACTGGACAGCGGCGGCTTGTGCTAGCATATGAGACGATTGAGTGCTGGAAGTCCTTCCGCAAATGAGCATCTGACGTCTTCAATCCATAAGAAAACATCATCCCCTTCAGATTAGAGCTCAGGCTCCACTATCGATGGACTTAGCCGGTGTGCATGCAGACAGCGCTTGTATTACGCGGCGCGGACATTCTCTTCCTCATGTCTAGCAGCCTATCCTTGGACATCTGGAACACTATAAGAAAAGCATTCCGACACCCTGAGCGAACACCAGAGCGCAAAAGTGCCCACTTGGACCGCCGCGCACTAGCAGCCACTCTTTAATCGACGTCGATTCGCGTGCGGGGATATGGTCGTGGCGGCGAAGACCGGGCTCTGTTGGTCGCTCGCAGCGCTGTCTCGTGGCGGCAATGGTGACGTGGTGTACGACGATGGTGGCGCGGAGAGGTTCGGAGCGGCAAGCAAAGCTGGAACAAAAAAACTCGAATATCTCGTGTCCAGACCCTGCCTCAGGCTCGCACGCGCTTCCAAACCATCCCACCACCATCTTCACTCCACCAACCATGAAGTCGATGAGCCTGCACAGCTTTACACAGAAGAAACGTGTGTGCAGTAACACTCCATGCTTCGACAATGCCTCTTCGCCTCCAACTTCGATCGGTCGCCATAGCACGCATCGACAGTACCACAAAAGGGGCCAATAGTCCCGCCCTCAACTTCCGCCTTCCACCGTGAAGCTTCGCCAGTGGCGCAGTGATGCTCTGCGAGGAAGTGAGCCGAAAAACATATGTGCACGTCTGTCAGAGAGGTTCGGTCAACTATTTCGAAGCCGAATAGACCAGGTGACTGTCGATACCTCTTGGCAAGGCGAAGGAGCATCCCTGTTGATGTCTGTCGCTGTGATCAAGAAATCTGAGTGACATTTCGAGAATTGTGCGAGTCGCAGTGAGAACCGGGACGTGAGCTTGAAGAATTTGTATGTGTACCTGTGTGACGCTCGACCATCCATGATCACGATGTACTTGTCTGCTCCAGAAGCTTCACGGTGTATTTGGTTTAACGTGGCAGCGATTTCGATGGATCGTGACCGGAGAGGTCGGCGTTTAATAAGCGACTAAACCGGCTGACAGCACAGGATGCAGTTGCCGCCGCATGCGAAGCTGACCTCAGTCTGCAATTATGCGCTGGACGCAGCATCCCACTGCCCACCCACATGACTACTACGAGGAGCCTGTTACATACAGGAAGTCACAACAGGAGGCTTGCGAAGTTGCACAGGCCTGCTTGACGTAGTATCGTGGCCAATGCCTTGCGCTTTCATCTGGTTGAGCTGTGGTGATCAATCTTAGTGGGAGAAGAGTGAGCAGAGCAGAGTGCAGACGTTGCGATAAGGTATTTCTAACGGCACTTCCGAAGTTCCGACCGTTCCGCTGGCCAACAGGGTTGACTAGCTTCGTTAGCGCAGAAGCCATCTCGGCTTTACTTCACCTCACCTTGCGCCCTCCCCATTCAATTTATTTTCGATTGAAGACGAGTTCCCCGCTGCTCAATCGTAGCTAGAGGAATGTTGCAACGCCACAGAGCTGCCAGATTTAGAGGCGTAGGCCTGGCGCGCTGTGTCAAATGTTGCACGACAGCAGGTGGTGGGACGCCAAAAAGGAATTTTCTACAGAGCCGCTAGAGACGCGGCAAAGCGAAAAGAGACGACTCGCACAGAAGATCCACTTCAAGGTAACACACAGGCAGATGTGGCCTGAATGACAGACGCAGAACGCGAAACGCGAAATCAAATACGAAGCCTCATGCAAGCACCCAACCGCCCAAACTTAGCCGTACCAAATGTTACCAGCGCACGAATTGTTCCGACCAAGCAGCGACCGAGCGAATATGCAGTCACAAGAGGAGAGTGGGCAAGGAGAGTCCGTACCCTGAGGTCCGTTTCTAAGACAACTGTAGGATCCTTGAACATTCTGCAAGAGAGATGGGAATCACAGCGGGACAGAGGAAATGCACGCCCAAAGCAGCAAGGCGGAGACAAGGGAGAGCGGTAGCAAGTTTAGGCAAAAGGAAAGTAGGAAATTGTTGGGACCGGAGCCGGGAAGATACAAAAGGAGCTCTTTACTACTACTAGCTGTCGGAGATAGACCTTATAGACTCAGATCCTTCTGAAGAAGTCTCAATCTGGCTCGGCCTACTGCAGAACACCTCGTCCTCCGCTCCACAACCACCTTAATGACCTCAATCGTTAAGCAACTCGGACACCAGAACGATCACTTTCCTAAGACGAGCGCCAAAAAGCCTGCAAACGAGATGGACAAGAAGTCGAAGAAGGAGCCGACAACTCAACCACCATACAAGGGCAGAAAAAACAACACCAGTTGCCTCGACTCTGAACCTTGGGCCATGAGCAAGTACGGCGGCCTGGGAGGTAATGCTCAAAACCTGGAACTGCAACAGAAAGACGTATGGGCTGTGGAGGCTATCGTGGATGAGGACCGGCGGAGCTACAAACTACGCTGGGCAGGTGTAAATAACGCCACGGGCGAAAAGTGGCCTGATAGCTGGGAGCCCAAGAAAAATGTGGGAATGGCGGTTATAAGGGAATGGAAGGAGCGCAATGAGGTGGGCGGGGATGGGCAAGCAGAACAAGCGGCAACGGGAGGAGATGACGAAGATTGAGGAATGCTCGTCAGGCCACGCGAAGGTCGGTTCAGGAACGCCTATAGAGAGCTGGTCGACGGGCAAATTTGATTTTGATGTTTAGAATCGAGCTGCATTGAACAAATATCAACTGCTTTGATCTCCCTATCTCCCTCGGTCTCATTTATCTTGCGCACTCTGCATATCAATTGGCACAAAGACACCCGTAACCCCATCACTCGCTTCGTCTCCCCATATCCGAAGGACAATGCTGCTGTTAATAGGAATGCTGTGCCTCTTCATGCCCTCCATTTCTTTAACAACGGGTGCTACAGTTCTGTTGCCAATGTCATACCCCAACGCCGCAACATAGGATCCCGCGACTGTCACTTGAAGGCTTCTCCATTCGCCAGAGTGGATCACATTGAATCGCAACAGATTCGCAACGACCGCATTCCACAATCCACACTTCACCCTGGGCGGTTCGTGCTCTGAAAGATGGCCGAGTGCCTCGGAAGGCCGGTCGGCGTCTTGAATCGCTGCCACTGACAGCCCTTTTTCCTGGATGCGCTCTGCGGACCATCCAGCTGATTGGTGAGCGTTGAGGTCTCGTCCGGAGCCACGGGGACTTGTGAAGCGGCAGTGCCGGATTGTGCAACTTCAAGGCAATAGAAGTGAGATATGTCTCATTCCCACGAAGACGATGAGTAGTCTGTGTGTTGTCGGGCTGACGAGGAAATCGGAAATACGTCGACGCTCGCGTTTGCCTTGCAGCTGTTGCCCATTCGAGGAGCGCGCTCTGCCATAGACGATCGCAGACCTGCTGCTCGCAGCGTACGAGTCGTCTGCGCTTGCGTTGTGGTGATGAGGTGGAGAGCGGCGCGCAAGATGGGCTCGTTCCATTGGCGACGATTCAAACTGCGGCACGTAAGCACCTGAAACTTTAAGCTTGATGATGACAGAAGAAGTTTGACCAATGCTTCACCCGTGTAGACATGATCAACTTCTTTGTCGCCTTCGTAAGAAAGATTTGCAATGTTGTAGGTGCGGAGTTGGTAAGCAGATCCATCGATCTAAATGACAAGGAGTACCGAGTGATGAGATACGTCCAACTTACAGAAACAACTGCCCTTCCGATTACTCGAGCCTATGTGCCGCTTTTTCGCGTACAAGAGTTCGATCTCGGCGGAGTATAGCGGGCTGATGAGACCGTGGTCGCCGGAACAGAGCAATGGGGATATTAGCAGTTGTCTGCTTTCACGATCTTCGCTCCAGCCTTCGATTATCGATGCGGAGAAGATTCGTACGTGCCCTCAAGCTATCCGCGGAAGCTTGCTACGTGACAAGCTGATCCTCGTGGTTGTCCTCTCGGTCGTCATCATGGTCAACATACGCTCCGTCTCCACGAACGCTACCGGCTCCATAATGTAGAGGTCCCCCATCTTGCTCACAGTCATCCCACTCCTGCGAAGCTGGGCTTAGCGTGTTGTGGTTGCCTGACGCCTGGCTTGCACAGGCTCCAGCGTTCCTACGTACCGAGACAGTGCCATCACTGTGATCGGGAGCGGCTCATTGACACCAACTTCCGAGGCGCCGTGTCAAAGACCTCCACCAACGCTTGGCTATTGCAGCTGTCGCCGAACAATGCTCACAGCTTGAGGAGGTCCCAGTGTGTGCAGGCCGGGCCTCAGATCTCCGCATCTTTCCAGCCTTTGTCTCCCGTTGCCTCTCTTCATCCACGGCTCTTCTGGTGTCCCCATCAGCCTGCTGTACATGACCATGCCTTGTCGCGGAATGAGATGTCGTCAGGGAGGTGCGATGCGCGTGCCACATCGATCTGCATTGCTGTAGCGCTTTCTGATACGCCTCGTCGTCACCCTTCCCCATTTGATTTCTTTCGGGCGATAGTTGGGTATGGTGTGCGAAATGGCGTTGCATTGGGTCAGCACTGCTGAAAGTTTGCATTCATTGAGCGCATTCGCTGCTCGTCGCGCCGGGATCGTTTAATCTGCTGGAGCGAAGAAGTCGATCGTTGTCGGCGCGCCATCATGGAGCCGTGCACCCTGGTGGTGTCGAGGACGGAGCGCACCAATCGAGTCGAGAAATCGTGTAAGCTGTCTGCGGACGATGTCAACTTCGGCTTACGGATCATACCATCAACCATCTTCACCCAGCTAAGGAACATACTGGTGAAGCACGACTTGTCTGCTTACCCCAATGCATCGAAGACATGTTGAGAGTCCGGGTTTTGGTCATTGGCGAGCGGTCTGTGTGCGCGGCGCGCCTGGGATCGCATTGTGAAAGTCTCAGTTCTCGGGTTCTCGCACCGTTTGTTGCGCTCGTTTCTGTTCCTGTCAGCGGCGGCTTTTGAAAGCGATTCTCTAGGGTCAGACCAGCGGTCGTGGCAGCCTTGCGATTGCTCGTGCATGCGATTCAGACCACCGCTCAGCGTAAATGCCAAGAATCAGAAGCTCTGAGAAGTAACGAGACTAGTAAATGCCGTGCGATTTGACTGACCAATGTTTGAACACTTAGGCACTGGATTCAGACGTCAACTCTGTCTAGTGCAAGACATGACAATCCACAAAGTCGCACGCACTTATTGTATCATCTGTCGATCATTGCATTCGTGAGCGTATGGCAGCATTGATGCTACAAGCTCTTATGGACATCGCCAGAATGTTCAAGATTGCCGATGAGAACTTCATGGGTCCTGCTTGGCTCTTGCGATTGCTTCATCCAGCTCTCTCCTCGCTCGTTGAAGGAGAGTGTTCATGTGGCCGCCAAATGAGCCCACTCGCACATCCTCTTCCCCAAACAAGCTGTCGAGGCTCTCGGGATCCCAGCAACCTGGCAACGTGCTCCTGCGTTGACTCCTTTCCACAGCTGGGGGAGTGTACAATTCCGAAGCCAAGTCGGTCTCCGAGATGTCTCTCAAGCTCAATCCTTGTTGGTCCCGCTGCAGAACCGCGCTCACATCGAGTCCAGATTCGCTAGAGTTCCCATCCTCGGCAGGTTTTGGGCTGATGCGTCCAACAATCTCCCCACGCCTGTCGTATTCCTCGACGATATCCCCTCCACTGATGCTTCCATTCCCGCTCGTGTCTATGATCTCCTCTTCATTCTCCTCGTCGCAACCTTCACCCCGCTCTCCATTGTCCCCTTCCACGTTGCCTACCAAGTCGCGGCGCTCTCCAAATGTCTCCAAGTATCTTTGTTGAGCGACCTTCCATCCCTGAACAAGTGACTCGGCCGATGAATTGCACAAATCGCAAGTTTTGTTCAGATTGCCCCATCCGTCTCGCAGTACCTTCCCGGTCCAGAATTTGGACTTTGGTTTCGTTACGTGGCACCAGGTGCAAGTACGAGTTCCCGAGGGAATGCGAATCGCAAGGAGTACTATAACGCTGTTCTGCGCGGGTGGTGGGGAAGTCGTAGTCGATGCCATGGTGCGGTAGACAGGCTGTAGTGAATGTATCGTTAGAGCGGCAAGTTTGATCGGAAAAGTGCCAGTAGCCTCGAGTGACTTGATGGCAAAATACTGAGGCAACGAGGTCTTGAAGGCAGCACGTCCAGAGGGTACGGAAGCTCAGAGGGGAATATCATTTGTGTGAGGAAGTTTGCTCATTCGGGCACGAAGAATGGCAACAAAGGAGCGAAAGCGACTGTTCTCTGCAAGCTTTTACTCACGAACATTCTGGTCACCGAAAGTCGTTCTACTGTGTTGAACTTACAAGTCGACTCCATGATATGGGGCATTGTGCGCCGTGCTTGAAGACGTTGGGCAAAGGGTAGGTTCCAGTCTAGCAACCCGACCTGCATGAAAGATGGAATGAATGGCGATAGGCTACGCCGGAATGTACCAGATTGCGTAGAAGACTGAAATTTTGCAGGTGCTCCCCACCGCTGCTGATTTGAGGGCTTATCAGTCACAGAGCTCGATGTTGTTTCAAAGCTGACGTGGCTCTTTCACGCTAGTGACACTGGCTTCTGAAGTAGCTTTGCAATGAGACCTGTGGAAATGGCCGCGTCTGATAGATCTGATAATGTGTGGTACTTGACTTGGGTTTGATGCAGTCCAGAGTCCAAACCATTGAGTGAGCTCGGTGACGGACGCCTTGATATTAGAACACAGTGAATGCTCTCACCGGATGTTGGGGTATGACATCCGTTTGTTCGTTGAGCACGATGTGCGGTGTTGATGGTGCTGCAACCAAACCTCTGAGTTCGTAATAGCACATGTGCAAGTCAGAACAAACCCTTTGCGGTCTCTCATGAGTAGCTGGATCACTCGTGCTGCTGTACAGGCAGTGGGCATATACCCACGATGAAGTCGGGACAGACCGAAGGAGGCTTGAAGGTGCCATTGGTGTCAGTGGGTACCCGGATGGCGCAACTCAGCACGATGTCCGGCCATGCGATGCCAGTCGAATCTACTCTTTTGTGAGACATGCAAATGTCAGCTTTTGATGAGGACGCGCTTTTGAGGATGGCTGACGAGATCTTTGCTACCGATGTGAACACCGAATTCATCCCTTTCGTCCCTGGATACACGTATCCTTGGCGAATTCATTGACCACTGTTATGCTGGGGCAGAAGATTTGCATTTTCGGGAAGTGTTTTTGATGAAGGTGAGCTGACTCGGGCTTCGCCACCGATTAGAACGATTGTGAGGCAATTCGTTCTGACGCTGGCGGCTGATGACCACAATGCTGCAGTCGGCGGAGGCTGCAGTGGACAGCAACGGGTAGAGTCTGCGTAAGCGGTGCCCAAGCGAGCCAAGGCCAAGGACATTCCGTCGGCTCTTTGTCGGCTCCGGCAGGCGGAGAGGGTCTGCGCGCTCGCGGCAAACGCTGGTGCCGTTCACATTGTGGCATTGTTCCAACCGCCCATTGTCTTCGCCTTGATACTCCAAATACTCGCCGCCTACAGCTGACGTTGCTCACTTGATCTACGGAGGTCTTCGACGAGATCGCGAACTCGCAAAGGTAGCTAATGCGATGCCTGCTTCAATCTCTAGTCGCAAGCATGCAGAACACTCCACAGGCTCATCGACCATCGCTTTGCGCTGTCCAATCAATAGCCCAGCACTAGACACATCATCATTTTAGGAGGATGTGAGGAGCGACCTTCACGTCCACTTTGTCCCAGGCGGGAGTGGACGGCGCACTTGGAGCCCACCAAAGCCTGCGAACACGAAAGCAGACTCTCCATGTGCGAGACTGGACACCGGCATGGATTCCAATTTACGCACAACACATCTCCGATACCCCAAAGCTCGGCCAGAAACACTGCCGTGCACGGTCTCCTTCGGTCTAGGCCAATACGCGCCAAACGAACGAGAAGAGGCACGAGAAAGAGCTTGACATGCAAGAGCAGGCTGCTGCTGGACTTGAACGGGCACAAGAGAAGGACGAGCTGCATAGGGTGTGAAGGAGAGGTACGATGCTAGGACAGACGGTGCATGCTCTGCGAATCCGGTCAGCCCTGGACAACGAATGACAGCGAAGGCAAAAGCTTCCGGTCAGAAACGACAGCGCCGAGGATAGCAAAGCACATTCGAGAGAACACCGAACAAGACCACATCAACACGGCGAGAGCCTTCCTTCTCACTTTGGCCAAGATGGATGTCTCATGTCGCCGGAGAAGCCAATGGAGCCAACGAAATCACTGCCGGCCACGTGAGCTTCGGAGCGTCCTAGCCCTTTAAGCATCCGAGTGAATCACGAGGTAGCAGATGAATCGCTGCTCACGAGGTGGACGAATGAAACGGATTCGAAAGCATGGAGAAATAACATGAAGCTTGCTTTCTTCCCCACCCACTATGACGAGCTCCTATGATGGTATTGCCAGCTTCCTCAACGTCCCCGACAGCGAGAAGGCCCAAGGCGAACGCGACTCCATGCAGTGGAGCGCAAGACTCGGCAGACGCAGTCAACCTTCGGAAGTTGTTCGCTTATCAAGAAGAACTTTACCCACTCCCGACCCTGGGACTTATCAACTCTCCCGAAAGAGAATCTTGACAATTGTGAAGGAGCCAACAGTCGAAATTTAGATGGCTGTCCAGGAAGCGAAGATGAGATCGCACCAGCTGGATTTACAGCCACGAAGAAAGAGTGCCAAGAAGAAGAAGTCTGAGCTCCCCTCCGAAGAGTCCATCGCTTAAGGAACATTCGAAACAGTGGATTCAAACGTCGCAGCCACCTCGACGCAGGTCAGATTAGAGAGCTTCTTCGTCAAGAAGGCAGATTGGAGAAATGGTCAGAATGTCCTTCCTAAGAACGCTCGCAGGAAAGTCTTCAGCGGTGAAAGAGGATGCCGGGGTTTGTACAAGACGCTTATGAAGAGCTCACGCAAGCAGTTTCAGAGGGTCCGTCTGGCGCTCAAGACGCCGCTCACAACCGAAGGCTCTTGCCGATGCCGAGTATCTCTCCCGTTCTACGCTCGTCACTGGAATGGTCATGCTGGCAAGCTGTTATCTCTTCTCACACGCAGAAATTCGCGACTTTGTCAGACAGCGCACGAGCCCGATTGCCGATGCCAGTGACCCTATCGACCTCGCCTGAGCTACGTGCAGAGGTATGCCGTAGTCGGCAGACAGGGACTCGGAAGCCTACAGATGCATGCCGACTTTTGTCAGAAGATGCAGTACCACAATCCGCCGCTGCAAGTACCTGAGCATATGTTTGCTACAGGCCATCGTTGTCGGCGAGTCGGTTCTTGGAGATACTGGATCGGACACCACACTTGGACGTTGTCCATGCTTGTTCTTGCAAGACCTACCACTAGAAGAATAACGAATGAATGTTGACCTTGACGTGGTCATTATTGATCAACCAGGCACTCATCGCACACGCTGTCTGTAATCATGCTCTCGGATCATAAAGCGTCACACGATGTCCGCTATGTCCGACTGGCACAATCAACGGCCATCTCCACATTAGCCCCACATGCGCTGTTCACAGTACCACGTCTCGTTGCTTGGTCTTGAGTCCCCATGGTCTAGCCCAATATTGTTCCAGGAAGTGGAGATCGTCCCTGGACGTAAATTGACCTTCTTCCGGAATTTAGAGTCCTCCAGGGAGCCCCCAAAATTTCATGGCTCCAGGGTCGGTCTGTCCACAACGGCCGACCTCCCGTCACCAAACCTGCCACCATAGACTGGCGAAAGGTGCAGCAAATTACCGTCTCTCTTTTACTGCACATCGCTCTCCGCACGCACTGACCTGACCACAATACTGCCGTCGTTCGGCTCCTGGCACCACACCGTCGGTCCACAGCCTCGCCGCCAACATGCCGCCATGTCTGATCTGCGGCGCCCTCACCTCGACGACCGGCGACGACTATCGCTCCCAATCACCTGATTCTAGGCATGCCATGCGTAGATCGTTGGACGTCCAGGAGCAAAGTCGACATGAACGCGCCAAAAACGCCCTTTTAGACTGTACTGTCGCTTCCCGCTAGGACGCTAGAATCCGCGCGCCTGCGTGGGCTGCACTAAGCACACAGATCACGCTCACCGACCTAAAGAGCCCACACGGCACCACCTACTGCCTCTCAAGGGTTTCACCCGCACGTCTGGTGATGTGATCAAGTTTAGCGAGCATGGAGATTGGTAAGCGACCTAGAAGGACGTGAAACAAGGGACCGACCATCGTCACGATCCGCAAAGTTGGAAGGTCGGCAGAGATCTGGCTGGTATCTGGCCTCGCGATGGTCTCCAGATCCGGCAAAACTCACGTGGAGAGACGCACGAACAACGCCTTCTCCGATTGCGCTGTTCTCTCGCGCCAATACCACACTTCACGGCACTTCAAGGCCGAGAACGCGTATCATCCTTGCGCTGCCAACTGATGCCTCGAGTGCGGTGAAATAGTCATGAACTCAATGGCGCGATTGAAGCGGGAACGGGCACGACCGCACAAATCAGATCAAACACGAACTGCCGCTTTCGCATGCTGTGGTATCGCTGTCGGGCTCGAAACACCAAAGGGCGAGTCTGAACAATGCGCAGGTAGAAGAAGAAGAACGACCCGAAGTCGTGCTGCGAAAGATCGGTCTCACTTTGTAGGAAGAAGGCACAGCGACATTCGGCCGTAATGTTTAAAGAAAGACGAACGTCTGGTACAGCATGTCGATAGTCGTCTGCCGTAGAATGATTCAACGAATAGCGACGAGGACTCATGCCGCAAAGCCCTTCATCTGGTGCTGCAAACCGCGTGGCACGAGAAGTGAATCCTAATCTCATTCCATCTGGACTGCCAGGCGAACCAGGCGGATGTGTTCCGGAGATCCACATTTACGGTCACCGCAGTGCAGCATCGCTCGCAACACAGAACGCCTTCCAGGACTTTCGTCGTCCGCTGGACACCGAGAAATTCACGCCTGCTAAGAGTAGAAAGGCTCTCATGACACCTTCGACACCTACGCGGCCCTACGACCAACTCATCATCGACTAGAAGCTCCACTGTGTCCAGCTCAATATCTGTTTCCAATGCCAACGGCTAGGTCTCCGCGGTCACCATCACTTCTCATCCAGCCGCCATTAATGGGTACGGGATACAAGACATACGCCACAACGGCAGTGAATATACAACAACTCGCAAAATAATTCCAAACGCACCCTGGTATGAGGAGGCCTCGTCTTGCTACATTGAGTCTGCCACTCGTCGAGCAAAGCACAAACAGTCCTCTGTACGAGAAGATATTGTAGGTGAGAACTGGGTCTCTAACCCAACGGAGCCCGTAGGAACACTAAAAGGAAGAATTGCCGTACTTCAGAAGCTGCCACTCCTAAGCAACGTCCCGATCAAAAATTTGCACCATTCATGACCCTCGTGATGCGCATCTATCAGGACGCCGCTATTTGGGCATGACTTTCCGCGAAGAAGAGAGCGAAATCCGAAAGGGCAACTTTGAATACCACATTGCCATGCTCAGCCGAGCTACTGTATTCGAGAAGTCACTTGCTATCCAGCCATTGTTCTCAGTTGCCTGCAACGCTGCAATTTACACGACTGAGGTATGTACGCTTAAGCCCGTGGTGCTTTCATTCAGCGAGTGTACGGAGTACATCGAGGCACAGGTGTTCGCTATTGAGTATTGCTCGTGCAGCATCGAGATATCCTTTGGCATCGAGGAACCGCTGAGTTCGCATTAACGCCACTGCGAGGGATATTGGGAGCCGACAATGACATTCTGTGTAGTGTCGCATCTTATCGAATTTCACCGGGCTTGGAATCCTCTTACAAGTGAGTTCGTTTCACCCTTTGCTGAAGCAAGCTTAGAGCTGCACCTTTGATGCAGGATGTAAACGCTCAGCACCAGTTCATTATACAGCTTGGAAATGGTAGTATTATTATCGAAACTGTCAGAATGTCATTTTCCTACGCAAATGGGAGCCTGCCATCAGGCCCTTTCGGTCTTGAACACGACGATCCGCATGGTCATCGACACTTCGTAAGCCTTCGGGCGTGCACCGTCCGGTCAGCACCCGACACCGTATATGATGATCCCCTTTTCAGCTTTTGATTCGTAGGCACTGTATTATCGTTGTAGCTAAACACGAAGCACTGAATTTGATCCCGTGGTTGATACGAACCCCCGATATGGTTACTCATATCCATGGTTTCAGATGTTGCAATCACAGTCCGAGTTCTTTTCTGTACACAGATTTTGATGCTTAACAACACACGCCACGGATCCGCCGACATTCAGCAAATACCTGCACAATCCACTCTTGTTCGAATACACCTTCTCATACGTGCTTCGCAAGTCTCAGAGTCAGCAAGCACGGCAGCCAAGACTTCGATGCGTAGCAAAGCATCCAGCCTCCCACCACTATAATACGCCTAACTCGATTCTTCTAACATCTTCCGGTTCTCACGAAATTGCGTTCTTTAAGCACAATATCTGCTTGTTACCTATTCGGCCGCGGTGAGCGTGCTTGTTCATTATTCATGCAGGTCTGGACAACATAGACAAAAAGAACAAGACCACCTTGGATAATCGGGCAACCCAAATCAGTTTCGAGAGCATTACTTACAACAATATTCCTCGACAGCTTAACGCGAGAAGTTCCGCTATCTGCTTAACACTCTCGACAATCTCCGTACCTGCGGCCTCGATAAGACGATTTTACTACCACAAATGTTATTTGCGGGAGTCCGCATACTTCCAAATCCTTGGTGCTTAAGCTGCTCATTCAAGAATCCGGCAAGTTTCCAGAGCTCATCGCGAACGCGACCGAATTGTTCACAATCTTGAATGGTCTCGCTGAAGGCGGACAGCTTCAACGATGATTGCGACTCTGCCGTCTTCCGTCCAGCCTCCGATACGACAAGCCCGAATCAGGAGGATCTTCGATCACATCCATTGACCTCTCGATAGCTCCAACGCACATGCATCGCCCGGGAGCTATGACATACCTATATCATGAAGCCGACTGGGATAGACCTTCTTCTCAAGGAACACGGCGACAATTGATAGAGATCTGTCACTGAACGCAGATGAAGAACTCCATACTTCGGCCACCGGTGATGAAATAGCCGCAGCCGTGGCAAGGTGACTGGACCCAGAGGCATCATACCGAGCGCTATCAAGATGCTTCTCTCCGAGATGCAGCGGCTGAAATCCAAGGGTTGGGAATACGCAGTGGAAGCCGACTTCGTTGAAGTGTACGACGAGACTTTGAACGATTTGCTCGGCGATGCGAAGTCTTGGGATGAAGGTGATGGCGTTACCACCGCATCGCGTGGCAAGACGAAAGAAAAGCATGAAATCCATCATGATCCTGCCACAGGGAAGACATCCGTATTCAACTTGTCAACGATAGGCTTATGGCCGCCGCCTTCTAATGATGGCAGTTGCGACTACTGGTGGGAACGGCATTCACGGCGGAGGTACGAGCAGGCCCAGATGGTCCAGAGCGACTATAACGTTCAAGTCACAGGAAGATGCGCAGAGATCGATGCCGACTGAAACATTTGAAGGAAATATTGGCCGAGCTCGCAGAAGTGAAGTTCCAACCTCCCCAGCGAAAAGGAGCGAGTTTCAAAGAGAGGCACGAGCGCAGATTTGTTGGGAAAAAAGTATACCTAAAGCTTGCGGGGCGAAGAAGCGCAACGAAGACGAGCGGCTAGATGCCGTGCAGGGCATGTTCGCGAGATGAAGGGACGATGGGAGGAAGGATTGAATAATACTCATCCATGGTGTCCAAAGTTTATACGATGTGTCCGTAAGCGCAAGCGAGAAAGCAAAGGGATCCTGTGACTCAAATTGCCTTGCGTACCCCGAGATCATTCAGAGCACAACGACGTTCTTGAAATATGTGTAATATTGTAAGCAGCATGATAAGCCCACCAGATGCTTGTGGAGCAGCTGCACGACATCTATTCAGGTTCGTGTTACTGTCGACTTGTTTCTCATGGCATAATGAACCGGAAAGAGCAGTGTTTTGATTTCCAGGCAGCAAGGATGCGTTTCTTTCTGGTTCCAGAGGGCTCATTCAGGACAAGGGAGGAACGTTACTAAGGTGCTTGGACGAGAGGCAAGGTCTGCTTGCGAATCTGTTTCCTGTGCTTCTTTCTTGCTGTGCATGGAAAAAGTCGTGCTGCGCTACAGCTTGGGGTTAAGGAATGTTCTGCCAGAGAACAATACGGGAGAATCAACTTGTTTGCTTGGTCGTGCCCCTGTCGGCCCACCCACTCAAGGGAATGCCTACAAGATACTGCTTCCCAGAACTCCCTTTTAATTATCGAACGCACAATCCAGCTTCTGCCGTTTCCACTGATACTCATACGTACGCAGTTCATACTCGTTGCTTCTCGCTCTTGTGCCCTGGATATCTCCTGCTCGGTCACGGCGATGCGAACTCTTAGCGAAGCGATATGTCGGTCGGCCGCCGCCATGCGCTTTTTGGCTTTCTTTTCGATGCCCTCTCGGCATTCAGCAACTTTCTCCTATGACGAAACTACGTCTACCGGTGGTGGACGATCGAGTATCCGAAGAGCCAAGTGGGCCATGCTGTGTGCCTCATGACATAGCCTCCGAGCACACTCTTTAGCAGACTTGAACTTCTGATAGATGAAGGCGTCGAATGTCCAGCCCGTCGGTCGATGGCCTGCTGAAGAGCAGCCGAAGACAGCACTCTGCTGCCTTCTTCTCAAATCCATATGCGTCGCTTAGAGTTTGTCGCGTTTTCGTGGCTAGGTAATGTGTTTGAAGGAGATATGCTGCGCTGTTAACAGGTCGCTTCTTGAAAGATCGCGCCAACAACTCCGCAAGTGCGAGAAGGTCGGAAAAGTGACATTGGCCAGCTTCATTCTTCTAGGAATCATCAATCTATTTATTGCTTAGTGTGCGAGGATGGCGTGTCTTGATCAGAGCTTATGTTAGAGCATGCGATCAACGATGTTTCTTACTGAGGACTGACTGATCGAGGAGGATGAAGCACATGTAGTCTGGCCGCAATTGTGCATTGCTTGCAGCGGCAGGCGAGATATGGCACATTATATGTCGAATCGAAAGAGACATAGGATACGATTCCTAAACGAGTGTGGTGAGACCATCGAACACTTTTACGCAGGCCAGCACACCACATCGGGCTGCCTGTGAGCGAGGGCGGCCAACAACCTCTCTCTGCAGTGCACCGGTAGCGTAGTAGTGCGTGACAAGGGTGGAAGAGATGGAGAATCGGTGGAGGGAATGCAAAGGCTCCGTGAGTCGCTTCTCGCAATCTCTGGAATTGTGGTATTGTATTGGTGAAGAAGTACGGGTCTAGAAAGGGCATGTTTTCGTGGTTCGGCACTGTCAATTGTGCAATGCTGTGCTAGTCAACCTCCTGTGCAGCAGTGCAATGTCCCTCGTTAAGGCGAAGCCCAGCGACCCGCCAATTCTTTCCGTTTCCGCAAGAAGACTGTGATCAGGCACCTGCAGCTATTCATCCGTGCCCTCGCAACAAGCTCGTGCGATATTTTGGACCGTTCTGGCGCGGAACAAACCTGCTTCGATGAAGAGTGCTGAGTTGAGATGCTCTAAGCAAGGAAATAGTGCCATCGACACGGACGCCGACTATGTATTCGGTAGCGTAGTTCTTCCAACCACTTTACGATGGCATACTTGGAGCCGGTGACGCGTCTGGCTTCTCACGCTGTTCGTCCTCATCTTCGGTGTCGAAAACCTCAGCCGCCTTGCGCTTGTGTCTTCTCATCGAAATAGGGTCAAGGTTGGCTGAGCCAAACTGGTCTTTGAAGACATGATCCTTCCAGTCCAGCAGATTTGCGAACTTCTCGTACGATATTGTGGTTCCTTTCATGTCAACTGGTTGGCTCTGTGTGCCCATCTTGCGTTGTTCTGGCGAAGTTTCCGGCGATTTGACGGCACTGGCGGCGCGAGAAGCGGTTGGAAGGGGACTACCCTCAGGGAGGATGCGGAAGAGGATGGATTCGCCATCGCGTGTCACTAATGTATATCAGCAATCGCAGAGGCGTGAAGAGACAGATATCCCAGGTCGGTTGGTGTACCTTCACCCGGAGACACAAAGTCGCCAAACTTGATTACATCGCCAGATCGGAGAAGCGACGAGAGTGCTCAAACTTGAGTCGCGCTACATGGAGATGCGAATCATAGCGTGCTGGCGGGAGGCAACAGCACAGTCGAACAAAGCGTTCTGAGAGCGGATCGGGTGTGCTCGACCGACTGCGCAGGGCTTATCGCAAGCAAAATCGACAGAGCGACGGTCGTGGGTGGTCGAGCTGAGGGTGATGCGTGCTGTAAAGAACAACATGTTGGTGGCGACAGCGGTTCGTGATATGGCGCACAGCGGTTGAATGTTGTTTGGTGGGTGGGCAAGCAGTCTTGTGGTGGTCGTGGCCGAAATAAGGCAGTGTTGGCAAAGCGCGTCGTGTTGCACCAAAGGAGTTTCTCGGCGCGTCCGCCACACGCCGTCGAGCAAGCAGAGTGAATACATCGCCCATCGCGAACTTTTGAAGGGGCATCCTCGTCCGTGTTGGGTGGGCCGGTCGATTCGTCTCCTCTGCCGCCCGCGTGAGACGCGCCTGAGCTCTTCGGTGCCTGTAAAGAGGCTACAAATCTGCTTCCTTTTCTCCTCGAGCTCCGGGGCGCGATTGGTCTACTACATGCGACGCGAACGCCAACACGAAGTGAAGACCAACTCTGCGCGACCTTCCGCGTTGGACCTCCTGCAGTAAACATCGCCGAACCGCAGTGACCGTTGCGCCAAGTCATCGTGCACAACGATACTGTATCCTCATTGATGTTCTGTTTTGACCAACTGTAATGGGCCAAATTTTCACCGCAGGCTTCTCTTCGCAACGGATTGTATCCATTCTCTTTGGTGGTTCTCCTTCTTATCTGCCGCACCTTTCTGTTGCATACACTGGGTGAGGGAATATTGTCTTCGCGCAAAATGACCGTATTGTCTGCCTGTTCCGACCAAATCTCCCGAGTCTCTCCTTCATCGACGAGTTCTGTCTCTTTGCTCGTTCGTCGATTGAGACACACTGACAACCAGCCGAGTGACCGGCAGTGGCGCGACCAAAGCTGCTCCTATTGCGGGGTGCAATGTAGTGGTGGTGACAGCGGTTGTGGAAGCACGGCACGCGGCGACGAAGGAAGCCAAATGTGAGATGGCGAGTCGGTCGCCCTCGGCCGGTGCTGGTGGAATCCGCAGTCGCGCTCAGCTGCTCCAAATGCTTTCCGAACCTCGAGCTGGCCTTCTCATCCATGTCCTGCAGGTCCTTGGCTGTCTCTGCGTAGTCGATGTCCTGGTCAATCTCCTCCATGTTGTCCTCATCGACAGTCTGACTCGCCCTTGCGCTCTTCCTCGCTATTCTCCGAGTCGTCCTCATCCATGTCCTCATTCCGGGCAGCGGCCTTGCTCTTGCCCTTTGTCGAAGGCGCTCGTATTCATCGGCGTGTCGGCCCCATCCGTAGACTTCGTGGCATCCTGAGCGCTCACCTTCGTGGGGTTGCTCGTGAGTGTCGGAAATGAGTATGATAGATTTAGCGAATCCGAGGATGAAGAGGTTTGGGCACGTCTCGAGAATACCCTGCAGATCGACAGATCTATCATTGCATTAAAGCGGAGGCTGCTCGGGAGTTGGTTCTGCTTCATCAGCTCGTTGCCGGTGGCCAAGCTGCGGCGGCGTGGATGTTGGTAGTCTGCGTACATGAATGAGTACAAACAAACGGTGTTGCTGGTGCAGCACGGCGGGGAACGCTTTCGTGGCGCCAAGCCGCGGTGATAAGGAGGCCCATATCGGCCACCTCGCCACTACGTCACTTTCGCTTGATTCTCAGTTTATTCAATTACTATTGTCGCACTTCTACCTCCACTACTATGATAACGACGATAATCGCTATAGTATTAGGTAACTCGCTATTATACGCTCTTAATAATAGTATTACTAATCTATATTAGCGCTACTACTACTGCCTATAATCGTTTCTACGATACGTATACGATTACTTCTATACTATAGCTACCGACGGCGATAGTAGTAGTACTATAGTTTCGTATATAGAGTTTATTTTACTTATTTATAATTATTACTAGCTTTACTAATACTTTATTAGTATACTTACTACTATATCTAGCGTACTCCTTAATAATATATAGCTATAGAATAGTAATTAGACGAATAATAAGGATAGCGATAGTACTAATAGCTTTAATAGTACTACTTCTAAGTATATAAAATCGTATATTTTTAAGTACTTTCTAAGGCTTTACTAACTATAATAGACCTCCTCTACTACTTTCTATACCTCTAGTTAATCTATAAATCCTCCTCTACTCTACTACTACGAATATTTACGACTTTTAGTTTTATAATACTAGTAAGTAGTAGTAATAGCTTAACGAGTATAATAGTAAGAATAAAATAAAGAAGAGAGTAGCTAGTAATAATCTATATAAGTTTAACGTAGCTCGGCGTATTATAGAGACTTCTAAGAGTATTATAGCTATAATACTATACTACTAGTATACTAGGCCTAGTAATATATAGGTTTATAAAGTATTAAATAAAGCTAGAGAGGTTACTTATACTTATTATTGTTAAATTTAGAAGTCTAACCTATCTAGATATAGTAGAATAAAGCAAAGTAAAACCTTTCG